ATTTTCACTCCACAAAATGCAAATGATGAAATTACAATGAAGACAAAAATTGAACAAAACAAAAAAAATGTTATTCATAGTGACAACAAAATCTTTCTTAAGTCTGGCAGACCTTGACCATCTTGTTAACAGACCAGGAGTATCTATGTAACATCCTAGCAATAGTCCAAAAGAATTTTCAGGCCAAATGATTCTTATTTAAAGACTGTACTCATATCTCCATGGGAAAAGTACAATATAAGTATATTGTCATCCTGTGCAAAATGGCTGACTAATGATCAGGTCTTAAAATTTGAACCAATGTTGTGATAGATTAATCATGGCTATGAAGTATGAAGGAGCTCAGATGGGAATACTCTGACAGCCCATAATAAATCAACTAAGAGCAACGTGTAGAGCTAGTAAATAAGTTCAGAACCAAATATAGAGCATATGAGTCAGGCACAAAACTAGAACAGCAAATAACATAAATAAATATGGAAACTGTAAGAAAGATGTATTAAATTGCTGAAAATGCAAAAATACATAGATAAGAGGAAAAACAAATGAAAAGTAAAACCTAAGCACTATTGGCACTTTAAGAAAGGCAAAAATATTTCCAAGTTATTCATCTATAAAACAATACTGACAGCAATACCAGTATTTGACTGCTGGAAGAAGGGATGAACATTCTGCAAAGCAGGCCTTGACTGGAGCAGTAGAACAGCCTACAAATGACCCAGAGTCCAGGGGAAAGACAGCAGCATCAAACTGGGACCACAGACTCTTCAAAGAAGTAGTCAGCATATCTAGACGTGGATAAATACAAAATGTTGATTATTTATGGAAATATCGGGATACAGATGCTGAAAAGAAGAAATCATTACAAACCCTACGTTAACATAATAAATCAATTCAGAAACACTATAACCAATCTCCAAAGCTCAAAATATCTCTCATAAATCACAGTTATTTGCTAAATCTGAGGCGCTGATTGACCAGAGAATGAAACAACCATGGTTTCTTCATCTTGATGCATTTGTCCCATGTCAGAGAACTAGTGACCTATTCTAAAACACTTATGATGTAATGAAAAGGTAAAGACAAGAGTGACAGCACAGCCTTAACTTCTCAGTGACACTAGCATGAATGGAATAGACAATAATAGAAACAAATGTCTTGCAGTGATGGTTGTGCATGAAAAGTTCACCCAGCCCTTTCAGGAGCATGAAGTCATTCAAGTAGAACATAGCCATAAATCCCTGGAGGGAATTTTTTAAAAGCAGGCTGCTCCAGAGTGCTTTCAGCACATGCTCCAAGGGAATAGCACTATTATTTTACACATATGCTGCAAGAAATTGACTGCAATTACTGACAATTTATCCAGGCAGGAATTGTAACATTAAATGAAAAACAAGTGAACAAGAATAAAAAATTGTGACCCTATTCAGAAATATAAAAGATGGGAGAACACTGAGACCATTGGACAATAAATTTTCACATCCTTTTTAAGAAAATCTCTGGAGAGAATTGTATGAAACACACAACACACAAACAAACATTTAAAACAGTTCATAACAATTTTTCATCCATCTGTCTCAAAAACAGAAAGAAATCTCAATTCTCCTGAAGTATGCTAGAAAGACGGATATGAGACAAATATCCAAGAATACATCAAAATGTACTTTGTAGTCAAACTGCAGTGTCCAGACTACTGAGAAAAGAAATTCTCCATTCCAGAATATAGGCCTGTACCAGAAAGCTTAGGCATTCTGTGTATCAGCAAACAGCCCTGGAGATCTCTGAGATCTAATTAGATGTGATAGGTGTAGGAGAAGTCCAGGCAAGTCACAAAAGAAAAAAAAAAAAATACAGTCTTATAGCAGAAGAAAAATAGATCACTTGAATGCAAAGCACTCATGACTGTGGCCTGATTCCTTGACTGCCTCAGAGGCAGATGAAGCAATGTGTTTGCTAAGTACACTTGTTATCACAAAGTATTACTTGAGAGAAGGGCAATAAATGAAAACAGGAACCATTCAGGGTCAGATGGAATGTTCATCTAGGAAGAGGAAATATTTGGGATTCTGTAAAAGAACAGGTTGAGCATAGAGGCAGTTCGGCAAGATAGCCCTTCACTTTAGTATGGCTTAGGACTTCCTAAACCAAAAGTGTTGGGTTTGTTTATTAACCTCCAAGTAATGTTTCTTTCCATACAATTTTCTTTATAGCCAAAGTACTCGATCCTTTCAGTACCTTTCAGGTGCAGTATGCTTGTGTGTAACTGAAGTGTACTATCTTCTCATTTCTCCACCTTCTCTTCTAAAAGCTTTCTCTAAAAGTAATTCAGTGTTTCTTCTGGTAGCTGCTGTTGATCTCATGTGAGCTTTCTCATGTGTTCTCAAACATTTTGTAAGTACCATGACTCATACCAACATCTCTTTTCACATGAGGCTTTGCTGATGTGGCATAGAGCAGAAAATTAACCCAATATGTTTTACAGGTGAAGTACACATTCCTTAGAAACCCAGAATACCATAGAGGCAGAACAGCTGGAGTTTTGTTGGCTATGATGTTGTTTCTGTGACAACAAAAGCACATTTTTTTGTTTTGTGCCAAAGTACTGCTGGGATGCTATCTAGAGCAGGGCTGATTTCACTGCAGGTTATACCTCTGCTGTCTTTTATTGCTTACAGTGAAGGAGAGAGTTCATGCATAGTGCAAGGTATGAGCAGCATTGTAGAGTCATTCCCTACTTATCTGCATGACTGTTCTAAGCTGTCTGTTACATAAGGATGAACACTGAAGAGTCAGTGCCTAGATGTCAACATAATAGACAGATAAGAAATATCTTGTATGAAAGGAAAGATTTTGTACATCGGTGAAGAACAATGAGCTAATGAGTCATGGATGTCCTGCATGAAATGTCTTAAGCCTATTTAAAGGCTTATCCCATTCTAACCCCAAATTATCTCACTAGGTCGGACTGGGAAAGGGGGAGATGTTTTCATATTCATCTTTTAACAATTTTCCATCTACGTGATGCTTAAGTGGGTTTGCTGGGAAAAGAGGATTAAAAGAAATCATCTAATTTGGAGCTGTAGCATTTAAGGATGAAATTAATTTTCTCAGCACACACAACATCCTCCTGCAAGGCTGTTCCCACTCCCTGGGGCCTCTGCCCTGGTTCCCCTTACCAGTCAGCTGCAAGGGAACAGCTGGAGAGAAAACAAGAGCAGCAAGTGCAAGGGCTGCTGGTGGCATCTTCCAGACATTAACCAGGTCATGTCCAACACTCAACTGATGATCCAGCCAAGGGTGATGGGGATTTGCAGCCCAAAACTTTCCCCAGGTCCTGCAGACGTCTCTGCTGCACACTGAGCTGACTTGGGGAATGATAGAAATTATGAAATTTCTGCAGGGCAGGGGGAAAATGGTTCAACTTTTGAAGTTCCTCATCAAAAGCACCTAAAACACTTTCAGTGCTTTCTCAACAACTCCATAGTAGGTTCTTAAGTGTTAAGTACTGCAGAAACATTAATCCTTTTATCAGTTTTGCCATGTTTGCAATTCTTATGAAGGCTTTAGTATCTCTTACCAGTTAAAGTGAATTCTATGTTTCTGAAGTATTTTTTTATTTTGACTCTACTTATTTTTTTCAGACTAAGATAACTTTATTTGTACATCTTCCCTGAAAATTCAGATTTTCTTAACACATTTTAAGCACATAAATGTCCAATTAACACAATAAAAATCCCAAATAAATTGGAATTAATGCTCTGTAGTAAGTACTATGGTGCTTTGATACTTCCACATGTCTATCTTGATATCTTCAACAAACCTAATTTAAAATCTATATAAAGTATATATAAAGTCCAAGGTTGCTATCAATGACAAGCACATATTCATTGCAACATCAGTCACTCAGGTTTCAGAGCTCCATTGCTCTCTCTCTGACTGGGTTGGCAAGTGAGTAGAGCTTCAGCTCCTTGTCCTGGACATATTATTAACTAAAGCATGGACAGTGAAGATCTTAGTTACCATGATGAATGAAGCCCTGTCACTATCTGTATAATTTAGAAAGTACAGCTGACCCTCTGTTCTCTCCTTACTCATCAGGTATAATTGCTTAATGACTGAAATCAGAAACTAAATCATACATTTATCAGAATGTTATATATATATATATATATATATATATATATATATATATATTACTGTGAACTCATCTACAGTCAAAAGTTCTCCATCTTTTATGCCATGTATTGCTTTATGATAATTTCTTGCCATTCTTAGAATATATAATGGGCTGTTAAAAATAATCTTCACTACCCTCATTACTTGAAGGGAGCAGTGTCTGAAGAGCAGCAACACTGCAGCAATATTTCCATCCTATATTAAAGTCACCCACAAGGCATCTGAAAAGGGAGTCTGATTTTTTTTGAGCCAATCTTGAAAATACTGAAGTTCAAAAAATTGAAAAAAAAAAAAATAATTAACTATACAAGGAAGGCAGAAAATCTGGATCTCAAATTCAGGCTGAATATAGCTGAAGAAATTCCTAACAATATACAGTAGCCCATAGGAAAACTTCTTCCAGGAACATCCTCTCTCCACCCCACCTCAGCTGCAAAATCCCACTGCTGTCAAGGACACTCACTGGAGTTTTATTTAATTCACCCTTGTTGCTTTCTTCCATAGCTAATGCAGCCAGGCAAGCATTTCTGAAGCCAAATATCTGATGAGACTGTCATGAGTAAGAATAACATTTGAGCTGTGTGAAGCTAAAGAACCAGGAAAGAATCTGCACCCTAAGGAAAGTTTGTTCCAGCTGCTTGCACACAGCTGGAAAACCCCATCCCATTGGTAGCTAAAACAATTTAATTAGCCCCAACTTGAGCAGCTCTGTTATTACACTGGGCCTTGACACAAATGTTTCACAGCTTTTCTCCTCAATGTTTTCTTTAGCACATCACTGCTAGGAGGGATATTTTTAAAGCACTTGGGGTCAGCTGCCTTTTCCTCCTCTCCAGCCCGTGAGGAATGCTGAGTAAGTTGTTTTTACCTGCTAAACTAATATTATTACCTCCAGGTTACAGCAGTTAGTGGGTAAACTAACAGTTCCCACTTAGGTAATTCAGGGTCATATATTACACATGGCCATCAGATCTAATGAGGGATCAAAAAAATCTGCCAGAGTGTAATTTTAATTAAAAATTCTGTCTGCCATCAGAAGCTTGTAACTGAGGAAACTGATCTAGGGAAGAATCATGAAGATTTTCAACTCCAGGTCATGGATGCTGGTTATCCCATCATCCAGCTGCTCCCTGGTGGTATCAGTCCCTGCAAATACATGGCCAGGCCAAAATCAGTGAAAAAGAGTTAATGCACCTAGAGGAACCCTTAACAAGGGTAACAAGGCAGTGAATGCCCTGCTCTGTTCAGCATAGTTGTCTGTAAAGTACCTTGGTATTTTGAGAGGAAAAGCAATGCATTGGCCCTAAAATCCTATGCATTCTCTAAATTAGCAGAGCAAATACGTAACTTTCAAAGCAGGAACAGTTCTACATTAGAGAAAGTGGTACCTATAGTTTTAAAAGTAGGGATTAAAGATGAGCTGAGCAATTAATAAGGTTGTAGCTCCAAATGGCCTGAGTTTCAGCGTCATGCCAAAACATAGCCACCCTCAGTAATTTATTTATGGGGTAGCTGGTGTTACCTAAAACTGAGCCTTTGATACCAGCTTAAATACACACTTAAGCTTTTTATAATATTTAGCTACTGATATACTCAATTCCATCTTTCCAAT